AGTGTTATACTGGAAGTCGAGGAGCTGTGTAGTGATGTTGTACTCCACACTGAGAAATCAAAGTTGTTTCAAATTTAAAAGTATATATCATGAATATTATCATGAAGTGATTTCATCTATAAAATATCATCTGGGTCTACCTTATTTTTAGACATTTATGTTTGGTCTATGTCTGTTATTTGAGCTTTTGACTGCCACTAATTATAGTTAGTCCCTTTAGTGAGGAGGACCAACCTCAAATCCTCGCAGCTAAACTGAGAGAGGTCATTTCCATTTTGACAGTGGTATGTCCATGTGACAGATCATGTTGAGCAATAGGCGGCTGAAGGTTGTTCACCGTGATCTCCTCAGCTCTGTTGTGCAAGAATCAGGACAGCAAATGGACACAGAGCCCCCTCCTCATCCACAGATACTGAGATTTGTTTTTGGTGGTTGCTAAATGAAATGACTCCAGCTCTTATGTGGATCCAAATATCACAGCTTCTTGTTCCTTACACGTTTCACAGATCAGATTCGTATGAACATGGAGCACATGGAGTCTGGTATGAGAGCTGTTTTGTGCCAACTTCATAACTTATGATGATAAATCTGCAGTGTAAACGCAAATTCATCACAACGCACAATCATTTCTTTGTCTCTCCCCTTTATTAAGACCACTGTGAGCTGTAACTGTGTTTATAGATTAGGCTTCTGAGGCAAACACTCAAAACTAACTCAAGACCTGTGTGTAGATGAAGCCTTAGAAGACCATAGTGGACAAAGCCTGATGTCCTGTGTAGCAGCTGACTAATGCTACAAATAACTAGCCACTGGAGTAGGGTTTAGGGAAGCGTGATAGTGGTGATATCATCACTGTAGGTGGGAAAGGGGGATAACGTCATCCTGCTTAGGCCTGAAAATAAATATCCCTACTGTCACTGATACGTCCTCCCAGCTTCCTTCACTTCTCTCCTCACTTAGCCCTGATGATGTTGTCACTACTTCCACAAAGGCTCCCAGAACAACAGACACAACAACAAAGGGTTTCTATGGAGTCTTGTTATTCACTGGCCAAGTGGTTAAAATATTTAAATCAAATAAAGTGAGCATCAAAGTCGTCATTAGTAAAGATTTTTGTTTCCTTTTTCTGTGCTAAACAAGACTTCGGCAAATCCTAAGCACTACATTCTGGGAGCATTTGTGTCTGTGAGTGAAAGAGAGGCTCACCACAGACACACCCTCATGGCTCCTGGCTAGTCTCCTTCACACCCGGTCTCCAACAGGAGCGTGTAAACCGTGTTGCCATGGTGTTGGCTTGAGTTTGTGTTGAAGGAATTGCAACAGCAACAAAAATTCACTTGAGGCAGATTCAAGACAAAGCGCCGACTTCCTTATATCATAAACGTTTGTATCTGTCTGAACATTATGCCTGTGCCAGCTTATGCAGCGGGTGCTTACAAGGCCTTCACATATTTTAAACATGAACTTTGGAGCGTCAGTGGTGACCAAGCCTTTTGTCCGTGCACACCCTGTTCAAATCATATTCCCCAATGACGTGCCTCAGTTATGTAACTAACAACAGGGAGGAGATGGCTGTGAGTTGGCTGCACTACTTTCTTCATGTCAGACAGTCCTGATAAACAGTCACAACATGTGTTGCTAGAGCTGAACAATTCAACAGATTTTCCGTAGTGGTGCTCCGACAGCTGCCCTGCACTGTTGATACAGGACCCAAGAGGTCCCAGCCACAGTCACATAGCTGACCTGACCTGCTCTTTTCTTAAACCTTATTCTGTACAGTTAGTTACCTCCTTCTTGCATGTCTCTGCCAGTTTGATCTTTGTTTGCCTTTGTGGTATTTATCTCCCTCATTTACAAAGGCTTCTGTTTGCTCTTATCTTGTGATATGTTCACAGGCTCTTTTTTAAGCTATTCATTAATTTATTTTATTTTTCAACCTCAATGCCAAGTGTTGTCTTCCATTTCCTCCTCACCATTTAAGCCCTCCAGGCCATTATTTTGTATCAGGCTGTTGTCTGCTTGCTTTTTTTCCTTTTTCCTTTTTGGCCTGTGGAAACTACCCTGAAGTTTCCACAGCTGAACAGCCAAGACAGAACATTCTCCAGCACTATTTCTCAGTAAATCAAAATGGCATCAATCACAGTGGGTAGAAACAGCAGTTCCTCTCTCTACTTCTCTACTTTTCTTGTTTTAGGACATGAGGATTTGAGGACACTCTATTTTGGTTGGTCCCTGTGCTGCAGATCCCTTTAGATTGTTCTGTGTCTCATTCAAGTGACAATGTGCTGCTACAGTCACTTTGATAGGGCACACTGTCATCTAACCACCTCCAAACTGTTTAACACAGAGCCCCTAGCAGGGTTCATATAGGCTGCAGCCGTCTGCATGACCTTGTAGCTTAGACCCAGTCAGTATAGACTGTTATGTCAGAGATTTTCCTAATCATAGTTAGTGTGATGTTGTGTCGCTTAATGTTTCTAAGCACTCACAGAAACCTCTTTGTGTTTGTGACAAGAGCCCACAGTGGAGGCTTTCAGTTCAAATCTTGACTCTGATATTGGAGGTTAGTTTCACCAGGTGAACCGTTTTCATGTGTTGATTTGACTCTTCCTAAATGGAAACTAAGCACCCATTGTTTTTAAAGTGCACGGCGTCACAGACCTACGTGTTGCAGCGTTGTTTACATTCCTCAGTAGCTGATCCGTGAGGATGGCAGCAGAGTGGACGGGGTGGTTGGTGTTTCCTAAATAATGCAAGAGGACAGAGTGCAGAGCATGAGGAGAAGGAGAGAGTGGAAGGAGGAGGTGGCTGATCTTAAAAGGCTCCTTTCCCAGTCACCTCCCAGCTGTGTAAACACATCCAGTTAGAGAGAGAGAGAGAGAGATGGGTAAATGAGTGGACTTTGAGACATTAACCATCCAAAGTGTAACAGTGACCAGCAGCCTGTACGGAGTCTGATCTCATGACTGAGACAAGGGACTCTGCAGACTGGAGCCTTTGACTGCTGCTTCGCTGAGTTTCACAGAGAATTGCATTGTGCTCTGTGCGTATGGATTGAATGGCACACATTGTTAAGTGATTCTCCCAGCTGATGATGCAGGAACTCTATCAGGCCCACACTCAGCATACGGTTTAAGAGACTCGACCAGACTGCCAGCACACTGTAGAGCTTTCATAAAGGTGCCGGCCATGAGCAGACACTGCTGGTGTTGTAGTCAAATACTGGGATGTGCAGCAGGCTTTGTCAGGGTCTTTTATGGGTTACAGGGTATAGATGTAGTATGTTAACATACTGGGCAAACAGTGAAGTGAACCTAACATTCATAAATACAGAATCTTGAGCTACATTTCACACTAGATGTGCGTTTTTCCAATATTCTATTGGTCTTTTTTTTAAAGAGGATTCACTATTAGTCATTAATTATTACTGGACAACAAAGGAAACACTGTCATCTCTGGCATCACACCAATCTTCACAACGAAGCACAAGATTTGAAGAGATTCTTCTGCATGACTGAATCTATCTATGGACACAGTAACATTGGACAAATGACTTGACAGTTTTCATTTACTACTTTGTTGGTCAAAGAATCCCACGAAGGGAAGAATATTAGTTGAAACGAGCCGCACATCTTTTGTTAACAGTTTTAACATCTCACTAACTGTAGTATTACACTGATCTGTTTTAAAGTAGAGATAAAGTAGCAGAAATAAAGAAATTATGTGATATTTCAGACTAATATTCAATGACTCACTGTATCCACTATGAATAATATATAGTAATTTAGTAACGTCACAGAATATAAAGACCACTATCAGTCATATTAAGAGTTTGATATTTGAAAGAATGTGCCTTTCCAGTATTTTTTTAATCATCTTCTCTCTTTGTACAAAGGTGTGGATTTGGATCTTCAGACTATATAATGTTCTTTTGTCTTTCTTCATGTAATGTGGCTTGATTGATATCTTAGTTCTGTTGTGCGATTCTACAGCCAACAAGCGCAGGAGCCTGTATGGAAGCCCCTACAACCAGCAGGGTTATGGAAGTCCATATAGCACAAACGCAGCCAACAGTCCTTATAGCAGTGGCTTCAACTCCCCCTCCTCAACCCCCAGCAGAGTGCCCATAGTCAGACAGCAACTAATGCCTGGGAATGCAGGTATGGGTCTATCTCTAGTTCATTAACAATTACAGAACAGCTGCTGTTTTGGAATATGTCACTGAAGTGTTCACAAATGTGTTTCCTTACCAGTACACCAGCGAAACGCAGCAGCAGAGAGGAATCCTCCAGCTATAAGCCCGCAGTCATCAGTGGACAGTGAGCTGAGCACCTCAGAGATGGATGAGGACTCAGTGGGCTCCTCCACTACATACAAACTCAATGATGTCACTGATGTCCAGATACTGGCACGCATGCAGGAAGAGAGTACGTACCTGTACCAGTAGTACTGTTCAGTTTCAGCTCCTTTGTCCTGTGTTGTAACTGTGAGTGTGTTCATGTTTGTCAGGTTTGAGACAGGATTACGCAGCAACAGCATCCAGGCGGAGCTCAGGTTCGTCCTGCCACTCGTTGCGGCGCAGCACCTTCAGCGACCAGGAGTTAGACGCACACAGTCTGGAGGACGATGAGGAGGCGGTGCACCCAGCCTTCCACCTTCCCTCCAACCGTTTCAGCCCCTCCCCTCGACACTCTCCCCGGGCCTCCCCCAGGAATTCGCCCCGCTCTCGCTCCCCTGCCCGATCTATCGACTACAGCCACAGCCGCGGCTCGCCTCAGCCCATCATCAGCCGCCTGCAGCAGCCTCGCCACTCGCTGCAGGGGCACGGGCACGACCTGCAGACCAACGTGGTGAAGAATGAAGGTAAGGAAGGTAATGAACGTAGCGGTTTATCGTGCGATTCTGGACACTGTCCTATTGACCTGAGCTAACCCTCTTCTATTGTTTTTGTAGAAAAGTTGCGTCGTAGTCTTCCCAACCTCACGCGCTCCTCGGCGACAACGGCCCAGGGCCCGGAGCCCGTCAAGAACAGCCGCAGCTGCGAGTCCAACCTGCAAGTGCCAAACGGCGGCTCTCCTCGACACCAGAGCCAGTCTGCTAGTGAGTATTGACACATACATAAACGGCATTTTAATTTAATTACATTTTACTGCAAAACACACAAACACTCAAATATTGTAAATGATTCTTTACACTGCAGTCGCTGATATCACTGTGTTGTCAGCTGACATCATTTTAATATTTGTTTTGCTCTCCAAGTATACTGAACATTCAGAAAAATGACAGGCTGTGTAATCTCTTGTTAGTCATCATGCAAGTGTGAATTCTGTTAACACTACTGGCTGCACCTACAGTACAAGGACTATACTGCTTTGTAGTGCCATGGCTTTTGGTGTTTGGGGATCCTCTTTGTCTTTGATCATTTTCAGTTGTAATATCTTTTATTCACACGCATCCCTTCTCTTGTCGCCTTGGCACAACTTTCACTTCAAAGAAACACACTCATCCTGCAAAATAAGAGCATGGCGCCAGCCGCACTGAAAATCCAGTTCGACTTTTGGTATCAGCAACACTAACATTGTTTTACATTTCATGTCCAAGGGTTTTATGTTCTTTAAGATCTTAGGATCCCACCTCTGTGTGTTAAGAGTGTCCATTTGATGTAATCCTGTAATGGGAGATAAAGGTGATAGGTTGTCCTTAATCTAGAAACAGTAATCCCTCTCTGTTACTAGCAGCAGAGAGAACAGGGGTCAAAGGGCAGGTTTCAGCTGGTTAAACGTGCACTGACTGCCTTTATCCTGTCTTAACCAACCTTTAGACCTTTTATACATTAAAGGAGATTTTAGCTATTTTTCTGCTGAATCTTAATAGATATTTGTATTTGTATACTTCAGAAAGATGTAAAAAAAAGATTCTGTAATTTTTTTACAGTTGGTTTACTGTCCTGATAGATGTTCTTTATCTGAGCTTGGACTGTACTGGACATATGAGACACCCAAATTTCTGCCTCTCTCACCAACTTCTCTTCACTCTAAAGCATGTGTAACCAAAACCAGCCTTCATTTCTCCGTCTGTGCTGAGACTGGCTGATTGGCTTTTGAACCTGGTGGCACTGACAGTCTGCTGCTCTACCTGAATGCAGCTGCCTGTGGATGTTTGGCTGTAGGGCCCCCTAGTGGCTTCAACCTGCACCTAAGGCTTCTATGGCCTTCATTGCCTCTACAGACCCTTTTTTCTCCAGTAATTCTGTGAATCTCAGGCACAGTGAAGTCTGACTCCCATGCTGAAATGTCCCTGTTTTCCAGCAGCAGCTCAGCTTCCGAGATACTCGACCCCTTCTCGCTCCTCCCCGAAACCCAAACAGCACCTCCAAAGCCCAACTGCCCTGCGAGGTAACAGCCCGCTCCTAAACCAGCTGGAGGCTGTGAGATCGATCTCACACAGATATATGCACAGTTCATGACTTACTAAAGGCAGCTGCCTGTGCACTGATGGTATAGACTATATTGTATGGAGCTGGCACTGGTTGCCAGCTGTGATGTAGCCTGATTTTGATGCTTTCTTTGAGAGAAACAAAGAACAAGAAAGAGGTGGAGCAGGGTTGTTGTTGGCAGAGATGAGCTTGAGTTTATAACTCCCACAGGTATGAAAGGATTTAATGTTCATACTTTAAAGATTGAGATGATTCTTGTGAGGACTGTGTCGAGCTGTTTCTGTAAAATATTAAATTGATCATATTGTCTCAGAAATGTCAAAACAGTGTGCTGTTGCTGGTCCATGGTTGACAATCAGTCACTCAGATTAGCCTGGCTACATAAAAAGAAAAGCATCATTAATCTGTTCATCCTTGACATCGTACCGTGGATTACATGGAGCTTTTTGTCCTTCCTTGCATCATAGCAAATAGCCTAACCTACATACAGTACATTCACACCGTCTACACAAAGTACAAATCCACCTCTATAGACGTCCTAGTCTCAATACATGTTATTCTAATATTTTCAAATAAAATAGCCAACTTAATGTTATCCAACTGCTGTTCATTGTTAGTCTCTTGGTAAGCCATGTCACACACAGGGCTGCACAATTAATCAACAAATTATCGAAAGCGCAATATGGCCAAATCGCAGAAGCAATATAGAAATGGCAAGAGCTATAATGTTTTGATAAAGATAAATGTGTGATAAAACAGCATTATAATGAAGTACTGTAGTGCTGCAGAGGGGCCCTGGTCTACAAATCTAGTTCACCAGATTTAAGAAAACATGTTTGTTTGGTACGGACCCCCCAAAATTTCATCATGATTTTAATAGTTTGGTTTTTTTTGTGTGAAAATGTTCTTTTTGTGATGCAAAAATAATCATTCCCACTTAATCATGAATTGCAATATCTGTCAAAATAATCGCAATTTTTTTTTTTACCATATAGTGCAGCCCTGATTTACAGTATATGATATATATTTTATAGGCAGATTCATAGGGGCAGAATATATAAAATATTGAATTCCATAATTAGATGTCTCTCATTTAATAAAAACACATCTCAAAAAGTGAGTCATATAATTCTGTGGACAATGTAAAATGTTCATATTATACAGTCAGTTGCCAGTTCATTATGTACATCTGCTAAAAGCAATGCAGTCTAATACAACAATCCTGTAATAAGTCCTACCTTTAAAAAAAAAAAAAGTTTCTGCTGAGTGTATATACAGTTAAAGCACACTGGTTACAGTGACACACTTTATACACTGTGTCTGTACACAGTGTGGCAGAATAACCAAAGGCTACATTACATGTGTAACTGTCCCATCATTATCCACTGCTACACTTGCTCTACACATAACGGCTTATTGCAACATGGCAAGTAGGATTGTTGCTGATATGGTCAAAGGTTATGCAACATGACAGTTTGTTAAGAAAACAAAGGCAGTAAGAGAAACCCCACTGAAGCCCATTCCTCAGTACCTTCCTCTCAGCTCTGAATTAAGGCCTGTCTCTGTTGTCTTCATCTTTGTCTAGTCCCACTCTCCTGTTGCTTTGGAGAAGAAGGTGATTTCAGTGAGTATTCACTGAGGGTTTCTGCCTTTTTAAATATTGTGATTGTGGTTCCTCACCGTGGTTGTATTGTTGTTGTGCTATGATGTGCTTCTGGTTTTTACTAGTGTGTGTATCACGTCATTCTGTCAACACATCTAGACTCATAGTAGGCAGCTGAGTGAATTAGCCTTTACTGTTTGATTTTTATTTTTTATGTTGTAGTTTTGTAGTTTCTAAACTTGCATTTTAACAGGTTTGACTTCATTTGTGAATTTGTGATGGATGTGGTTAGGAAATAACAATATGTTTCCATGTTTGATACATATTGTGTTATACAGTATGTGAATTGGCATATTATATCTACCTCACATCATTGTGCTCTTGATCATTACTGCATTGTTAAACTGCTAAAAGAGAGAAACCTATGAAAGCATATTATCTATAAAGACTAACACAATGCAGTTATACCTGACTGTATTGCTGCTCTGCCTGTCTTCAGTCCCCTCTCCCAGTAAGCTGCGAACTCCAGCCACCCCCTCCCCACTGGCCTTGAGGCAGCCAGTAAAGGCCACATCCAACCCCGGTTCTGCCACCTCCACCCCCACCCGCTCCCTGGCTCCTCCACGCAGTGGCTTGCCCCGCCCCAGTGCTTCTTCTGCAGGAGGAGGGATCCCTCTACCTCGCAGCAAATTGGCCCAGCCTGTGCGCAGGTATGTGCACCACACACACACACACAGTGGCCTCATCTTGCACTTGTGTGAACGGATAACTGGTAGATATTGTTGTACACAAACTTTAACTGAAGGTTTTTTTTCCCTCATCTCCTTCTCAGATCTCTTCCTGCTCCTCGGACCTACGGTGGCGCAGGTGACAACTGGAGAGAAGGTTGTTACTGAAATGGGCCAGCAGGGGGCTCTCCAATCAAACTATAAACACAAGGAGGCAGACATTACAACATGGCACTTTATCTACCTAGATACCTTTTACAGTGAAGAGAGAGAGAGAGACGGAGACTATGTCCCAAAAATATATAATTTAAAAAAAGGAGAGGATAGTGTCCACATCGCGTCAGAGAGGACCTCCCATCGTGTTTCTCTGTGGGCTCCGGCTCTGGAGGGGTTAGGCATGTAGTGCAGACAGCCCAGAAAATGCCAAAGAAACCAGCCCGACTCCAGCTGCGCCAGCAGAGGACACATCACCTGCCTTGGTTTGACTGCAATCATCTGTCAGACAGTCCATATCACTTCATTGCTCAGCTTTCCTCCCACTCCTCTCCCTTGTTCTTTTCCCACCTCCCTCAGGTTGAAATGTTTCCACACATTTCTCTCTTTATGCTCTGTGTTTAACAGATGTAGGTGAGCGATCTCTATGATGATGCTGTGCAGGTGAAATGTCCCGTAATGTTAGAAAATTGTGGATGTCTTGCAACAGTGAAAGCACCTCTGTGTGGGTATGACATTTAAGAATCTTTCCTCTTGTAAAATCAGCCAGAATGTATGCACAAGTTTGTTTTGGAAATTATTTATTCAAATTATTTAAGAAGTCTATGTCCAAACATCCATATCAGTATTTTGTTTTAAGATTTAAATTCTTTAAAATGTACATTTTGAACCTCGACTGCAAGCTAACTCTCCAAAGCCTTTTATTGCTTTCAAAGTGTCAAATCAGGACTCGTGAGACACCCGGGTGATTAATGACGCCCTGGCCAAAGCCTCAGGTCTGATTTGTACCGCAGTTTGCCAAGATTATACTTTTAAGTGCTGTGATTGGTCAGTTTAAGAACAGGTTGACATTATCTATTGAAAAAGAAACATGAACTCTAAAACATATTTTTGTCCCCGTTTACGCATTCAACCAATTAAACCAAGACAACTTTGATGTGACTCATTAAACAGATTTCTGTCAGTGTATATCATTCACGCCACAAAAATAAAAAAGGGTCTTGAATAAGATGACAAGATGAAAAGGTTTTGCTGGCGTTTACCTCTTGTGCTATGAACATGAATCAAATGGTGTGCCAGTGTTAGGGAAGCTGTTCTGGTCATTGGTGTGGTGGGTGTTATAAAAACTAGTGCCTATAATTTAAAGTTTCACTTGAGTTTCAACATCATGTTTTGTTTGTTTATCATTTTGTGCCAATTTCTGGTTTTGCCAATATTATTTGCCATTTTGCATCTCTGCTTGGTTGATCTGCTTGCCTGTTTTTTTGTAACTGAATCAATACATTTATAATTGCTTTAAAGTGTTTAAAATGCGCCTTCATATTTATAACTAATTACTCATTCTGTAAATGAAACTATTTATTAAAGAGAGAGGTGCCTCTGTAGAAGCTCAGATTCAGTGGGAAGCTACAACGAATGTTGCAAAAAGACATACCACACCTTTTGTGTGACAGTTTTTGTTATTGAACTTTTTTTTATATCCACAAACATGACATTCAGTTTCCCTGTGTAAATTCACATTTCAAATAAAAGCTGAAAAGTTGTTCTCTCTTTTTGGATTCTCTGCATATTTAAGAACAATAAAATGTTTGGATTATGTTGAGACAACAAAAGCCATCAGTACTGACTATGAAACAATAAAACCTTAAAGAAAAATCAACCTAGTCTCAAAACCGTGCCTCTCATGGGGTGTCCTGAGTCCCTGCTCCAGCGACCATGGGTAAACTCTGACCTGTTAACTTCTCAGGATCTCAGGACTGAAAAACATGAAAGGGTCCATCGATGCTAACCATTTTTATCTAAAGGGCACATCCAAATCTGATAGGGTCAATTATTTTTCAGTTATGTCTGTGGATGAATGTCAACTGTGGGAAATAAGCCAACATTACTTAAAAGGACTTGTAGGTCAAATCCAAAGTATATTAATCTTTCAGTTAGAGTTTGCATGTAGAGATCAAACTGCGTCATGCTCACTCAGTATTTTTTGTTTTTACAGGATTTATGAATCAGGCTCATTTATAGGTACTGCCTTTGTCTTTGTCATGCTGGGACCTTCTAGCTGTTTAGTAATGAAATGCATGTCCAACAGAATTGCCAACTTCAGTTTATTTATAGTGAGAGCATCAAAAAGTGTCTGTGCACTTTACAGCTTTTAAAGGGGAAGGTGACAGTTTATGTATTCTGCACACAGACAGCTGTGGCATTACGTACCTGCTGTCACCCGTTGGTTAATGGGGGACACGGTGAGTCTCCAGGAGGGGGAGGAGACAGATGAAACCCTGAGTCACTGACTGGAGCAAACTGTCCCATCCCACTCCAGCCTCAGTGCCCTGATGCTGTGTGACGTCAGTGCGTGTATTTTCTCTGGGCACTCTGCTTCCTCCCCTGATGTACGGGAGTTTCACTCTGACCATCGTGTTCTGTGAGCTGCGGACACACAAACACAGACACAGTAGAAACTGTTAAGTCAAACCTCCAAACAACAACGTTCCTTAATACAGGCGAGGTGACGCTCCACTGAATATGAAGCATTATTGTGGGGAGCATTTTACAAATACCACTTATGTTGTCTGACCTACACAAGATATAATAAGAAGACAGTAATATAGGGATGTTGTTTTAGGAAACTGGTGGACTGACTTAGAAAGTTTGAAACAGATTGTTTGTAGAAACAGTATCAAAAAGAGGCTGTTGGAGTCTGCGTCTAAGGGTTAACTGCAGGACTGTAAAGTAACTACAACATATCTGCTGTATGAACAGGTGTTAAGTCACTGACTATTAGGCATTTATGTTTTGTGAAACGATATATTTCCTCCACAGGAAAATACTATCTTTTATATTTTTCTTTATATTAACATCAAAAAAATATTACATATGGTAGTCAGACTCATCAGGACCAGCTTTAGCAACAATATACTCACAGGTCAATGCTTCAGTAACATACAGTGAGATTCTTAAAGACACCAGGCTTCACTTCACTGTTCATACATATGCTCCTTTTACTTCAGTCATCATTTCCAGGTCAATCGGCAGTGATCTGCAGCACCCTGGCTAATCCCAGCTGCAGACAGCTTCATAATATCTAACAGGTGAAGCAGGTGAGCTATAACGACTCACATTAATAACCATCTGTTAAACCAAACATGAGACCTGCGCACCATAAAGTTTCATATGAGGGCTCGTGCGTAAAGCGCACAGTGCGTAAAAGAAACAGCAGCTCCAACAAAAGGGACCGGCCGGCAGATGTTCACAGTTTGCTGCACTAATATAAAGATCGGCACAATTTGGATTCATGCAGGCTGTGCTTACTCAACCTCGACAAACAGCTGTCTTCACTGCAGCTTCATGTGTCTAAATGATGACCGTTGTAATTCCACTGTACAGATGAGAGTCAGGACAGCCTCTGTGGGCTGCGTGTAATTTCCCAAATATAAAACTGTCAATATGGAATAATTAGATTGATATTTTGAGGACCTTTTTCTTTATACGGAGCGGAGCGCGGTATAAAAGGGCAGCCTGGGCGTTATTGATTGGCCCATCCACTCGCTGAAGCTTAAGACCGTGTGCAGACTCCCTCCAGCTATGTGCGTCTATCGGAGAGCCAATCCGTGGCACCAGTGTGACTCAGTGAGTCACTTTAAGACTATCAGTGCCATGGCACCATCACGTCCTCCGACCACTGGAGCCTCCTCGCTTTCTCATTAGGGACAGTGCGCCACTAGGGGAATCATTTTACGCACGAACACCGACAGGCACAAACCGACTGTGGCGAGCCTCTGTCCTCCTGTTGCGCCATGGAGAACTCCAGCCTGTTGGGTGGCGACGCACAAAATTCTGGCTTGATAGACTTTCTTGCGTCGGACACTTTGAACCAAGTTTCTCCGGAGGACACTGCCATGGCCGGATTAGTGGCCAGCAGTGCCATCTTCCTCGAGGGCAGCAAATTCGGGACTGGGGCTGAGTTTATGGCCGCTCTGCCGACGGAATCCCCTCACCTGATGCCTGCCTTTTGGGATTCCCCGCTCAGTCACGGAATCAATGTGTTTGTGGGACTTGTTCTTTGCTTCACTATGCTGGGGCTCGGCTGCACGGTGGACGTGAGCCAGCTTGGAGAACATATCCGCAGACCCATCGGGGTGCTGCTGGCGCTGGTGTGTCAGTTCGTTATCATGCCCTTGGTGGCCTTTCTGTTGGCTTTAGCCTTCTCTCTGGATGATGTGGCAGCCATGGCTGTTCTCCTCTGTGGCTGCTGCCCGGGAGGAAACTTATCAAATATCATGTCTCTACTGGTGCACGGGGAAATGAATCTAAGGTAGTTATACTGTACTCCTCTAGAAAAACACATTGCAGTGAATCATCAACCTGTAAAAATGTTCCACAGGGTGGGAACTATGTTTTGCGCGTATTATTCTGCAAATGACGCACTGAAAGAACGAGTACTTTTGTAAACTTTACGCATGACTCTACAGTTCTCTATGCCTCGCTAAAGTTAATTAAACATTGTTGCGAAACCTGACTAAAACGAGCCGACACTGTGACACAGGACCAAACTCATTTCATGTGACTCTTTGCTCTCCTCTCTCCAGCATCATCATGACCATATCTTCCACTATGCTGGCGCTGGTGCTGATGCCGCTGTGTCTGTGGATCTACAGCCGGGCCTGGATCAACACACCTGTGGTCAACCTCATGCCCTTCGGGGCCATCATCCTGACCCTGTGCAGCACTCTCATCCCCATTGGGTTAGGAGTAATGCTGAGGTACCGCTACACGCGTGTGGCCGACATTGTTTTAAAGGTAATTTAAGAGCAACTTCTCAAAGCAAAGTTCCAACTGATGGATACGTTGAATAAAATCATTTCACTTTGTGCATTTAGACACTGAGTACTTTCGATTAAGGAGCCCCTTTAGCAAAAGCGCAGTGCGTAATTTTCCTTGCCTTTCCCAGATGCTGAACGCAGGACCAGTGACATCAGAGGCACTGTGTCAGGAAGAGCTCCTCCCTCCCATTTCAGATAAAAGCCACTCAGGAGGGGGGGCCACATCAGTCACAATAGACAGTAATGTTAGGCAGCAGCGATGCCATGATGGCTCCTGTGTTTAAAGAAGTCTATTTTAATATAGCTCCAAATCCCCTTTTCCCCAGAAGGTGCAGTCATGGCCTCCTTTATCCCTATAGAATCCCAATCCTTCAACAGGAAAAAAGTAGGGAATGCCTCTGGAAGAGCAACAAAGATTCCCACCATGCCCACTGGTAGAAAACAGCTGCATATGTCCAGAAAATCACCCTCATCCTGTAATACTGTGTCTTTCCAGGCATCTCTGTGGTCTCTGCTGGTCACCCTTGTGATTCTGTTCATCCTCACCGGAGCGATGCTGGGGCCGGAGCTCCTGTCCACCATCCCGCCCTCTGTCTACATGGTGGCTGTCCTGATGCCTCTGTGCGGCTACGCTGCAGGCTACGGCCTGGCCGTGCTCTTTGAACTGCCACCCAACTGCTGCAGGTCCGTCTCTCTGGAGACGGGATGCCAGAACGTGCAGCTGTGCACCGCCATCCTGAAGCTGGCCTTCCCCCCTCAGCTGATGGGAGGGATGTACATGTTCCCTCTGCTGTACGCCCTGTTCCAAGCAGCCGAGGCTGGCATTTTCATCCTGGCCTACAAGATGTACAGGAAGAAGGTCCTGCACAAACCAGACCCCATGGGGGACGGCGAGGACACGGATATAACATATCAAAGGTTTCAGGATGAGGACATTGACTCATCTTATGGTGCCGTGACAGTGAGTGACCCAAACACCATCATGTTGGACCCCTGCCCTCCTGACCCAACTCCTGTTTAATGTAAGAAGCAGTTCCCCACAGCAGGTGCAGGGGGGCAGAATGAGAGCTGCTGGTGGATCCATCATTCAGAAAGAAAACCTGGAGAACAGTGAGACTATGCAGGGAAATCCAGAATGTTTATCACTGACCTGACTGCAGAAAAAGGTGCTTTATGTCATAAGCTTCATTCATTCACTTTGACAATGTCCATTTCATGTCTAATATGGGATGAAAAAACATCAACTGTGTTAAAACCCTTCTGTGTTACCCTGTGAAGTCATTTGATCATCCGCCGAGCTTAACTTCAACCTGTGAAAGTAACATTAATGAGCAGATCACACCATCACAGCATGACAGCGTTTAGTTTCCCAAATGAACAGTGCTTTAAAACTGTGTGTGCGCCTGCGTGAGAGAGCGAGACCTGTGGCAAACATATCAGTCATTCATTGCAGCGCCAAGCCGGTGTCTGCTCCACGGACACAGTGTGAACACGGTGTACAATATGTGTATATTATAAACAAGTGTATCAAGACAATAAAATGTGTACAGAAACAAAACTAAAAACGAGTGTACCTTTGTCACGTGTCTGCTGTTTTTTTTGGGGTGGGAGAGGAAACCAGTGCCACACCTGACCATAATTAGACCTAATGGAGAGCTCGTGTTTCCAATGTATTTAAATAGCTACACCTACCAACCGGGGTCGGTTGAGCAAAATGGCAACGTACGGTGACGAGCCAGTCGACAGCTATTTCTATTCATCTTACAACCCTTACACGGGCAGATACCCCCGGCCTAAAGACGCGGGGTGGAAATATAAAAGTTACCTGTCTCACTATGGAGACAGTTCGGACGCCTTCAACAACCAGCAGCGCGCCCAGCTGAAGTCCATCTTATCTCAAATCAACCCCAAACTCACCCCGAGGCTCAGGAAGGCGAACACTAAAGATGTGGCGGTGCAGGTGAACCCGAAGAGGGACGCCTCGGTGCAGTGCTCCATCGGCCCGCGGACCCTCGTGGCCATGAAGCGGGACTTCCGGCGCAAAGGGACGCAGGAGCCCTCCACGACGCCCGGCAGCAGCCCCAAGGCGGCGGGCGGTGTGCGTTACCCCCGCACCCTCGCCGTGTATTCACCCATCGCCTACAGAAGCGTTACCTCCTTTCTGGTCGATGACAACAACAATAAGGAAGCCTCCTGCGGGGAGGCGCAGACCGGAGAGCCGCCCGGTGAGCCGCCGGAGTACGCGGGGAAAACAGACGGGAAGAAGAGCGAGGAGAACCAGGTGGGCGAGGATGGAAAGACCGATACGCTCCCAGACCAGCGCAAGAAGCCAAAGTCCAGACAGGTGAAGAGTGAAAATGTGCAGCCAACTACAGAGGGGTCAAAGAGCAGGGCGCGCGTGCGGTTTCAGGTGAGTCACATCACGTGCTCAGGGGGTCCCTGACTTCAGTCTGGACGGAAATGGACTCTATTGGTTGCACACACTATTAATGGGTTGCGTTAGGTGTAATGAATTATACACCCTTTACTGACCACTGACATTTAAAGTTGTGCACCAGCTGTAATGTTAAGAGCCAGAACTTTAACAGCATGGGCATTATACAGTCTCACTTGGTGAAATATTCCTTACAAAATCTTACAATAAGTTAAACGTCAAGAGAAAACAAAAGCAACAAGCTCGACATCATAGTCCCCCAGAAAGTAAAGTAACCCAAGTATGGCCTTTTTCCAGCAGTTTCTCTTGGACTGTCTGTTTGATATACACACACACTCCTGATTCAGATACATGAATCTTGTCTTCAAATAAACTCACTTTGGTATCACTCTAATTGGATAATGTCCTCCCTCACTACATTCACTAACTCCAATTTCCCCTGATAACAAAGTCCAGTATTGATGCTTATTTCACATCTGTATTTGCACTTTACTGTGCAGAATAATCCAAATTTAAAATTTGGGAAATTGGGATGATAAATCCAAGCTATGTCTATCAGAACAGTGATGAGCCAACTGGTCAACATCTGGCTGTAAGCTTTGTGTGGGGACCATAAAGATAAACCTCTCAGAAATGACTTGATGCAAGGCAGTAAAGATGAAGCTTAGATTGATCCATAATATAGAGGGGTTGAAGGGAGAGTGAACACTCACTGACTCGCCGTTTCTCCACCAGTTTCTGGAACAGAAGTACGGATATTATCACTGCAGAGAATGCAACCTGCGATGGGAGAGCGCCTACGTTTGGTGTGTTCAAGGCACCAACAAGGTGAGCACTTATTTTTCTGTGTGAGGCAAACAACAAAGTAAAGTAGTTTGGCAATATGAAGAGTTAACTGCTACCTCATCTGAAGCCTGGACAGCTAGAACAGTGAATTTTACAGCAGTGACTCCTGAGTTTGATCTTTAGTAGAAACCTTTGTACCTAATTGTCTCTAGTTTTCAGATGTGGTCCTGCTATAAGACTGTATTGTATTGGTGAAACATGTGTATATAATTTGGTCCATGGCTTAACTGCAGTATGAGACACCCGTCCTAATGGAAGTATGGTGTGTTCCAGGTTTACTTCAAACAGTACTGTAGGAAATGCCAAAAGGACTTCAACCCATACCGTGTTGAGGACATCACATGCCACGTAAGCCCTTTTCTAACCTGCTCTGTAAATTCTAATCACCCATGTGTCATGACTAACTCACCCGTTTTCTTTGCAGACATGCAACAAAGCGCGTTGTTCCTGTGCAACAACACAACGCCATGTTGACCCCAAGCGGCCCCACAGACAGGACTTATGCGGCAGATGCAAAGGCAAGCGACTCTCCTGCGAGAGCACTTTCAGCTTCAAATACATCGTCTAGGAGACTTCTCTACTGAACTTTGCCCCGAAAAACATCAGTACATGTCTTTTTGTGGGGCATCTTCAACCCATGCCACTATATTTGGAGATGCAATAATGGCATCTTGGATACCAAATGTATATTTGATGTTTCAAATCTTAGTTTAATGCCTGTTTTGTGTTGATGAAATTAATGGTAAGGACCACACTTTACAATGTAATAAATGACTACCTTGCACTCTGTTCTGAAGCCTTTTCACTTAATGACAATTAAGACTTTGTAAGTTCAAAGAATGACAGACTGACAATAGACTTCATATTTCTGAAGGTTTAAATACTAGATTCCCCTCATTTATTTGTACTTTGAATTTAAGTCACTAACTCTAAGTATACTGCTAGTAATACTCCATACTGCCAAACTTCCAAAAGAAAACACAGGACAAAGCTCTTAATGTATGATTAGGTTTATTTATCCAGAGAGAAGGCTGGTATGTGAGTGAACAGGGGAGGGAAAAAAAATACAATGCACCCCTACATTAAAACATCCTCCAAGTAAATAATATTCATTAAATAATTAAGAACAGCATTCAAATGTACCAGACAAGCAGGGAAAAAAGCTCTCTGAGGAATGAGTACAGTGACTGTTACAATGTGCCATGACAAGATTTCCAGAAAGCATTCAGAGAACGGTTCATGTCCTGCAGTCACAGCAGCAAGTAGGGCCATTCTGAAAGCATAGCACAGCCATTTCCCCTCTTTGCAACGTGATCAACCTACACGGACAAACACAAACCTCAGTCTCCCCTTCATGAGGCTTTAAGCGGCGCTTATGCTGGGGGTGACGTGCTAATGAAAAGATCACAGTGGAGAGATGGAATGCATATGACTTGGCGGGATCTGTGTGCTCAGACAGGAGAAGGAGGCGACATTAGATCTCCCATGCCAACACCGTCACAAAGGCTGACGGGTGGCTTGTCCCAAAATGAGGCCTGACACCCCCCCTTTTGCAAGACCACAACAAACAAACCAAGGCAGCCTTTGGGAAGTTTTGAAGTTTGTGTGATTGGATGACAAAAGTGGAGCGGATCATTCATGACTCAAATCTGGTCTCGGCTTTCTCTCATCACATTAGCTTTATACATACATCCTATTCGGATGAACAGTGCATTACCCAAAAGTACAAGGGAAAAATACTGGTTTTACACTATACATTTTCTAAAATATATACAGAGTAAAATAAGTTATGTTTCCATAATGAGCTGTAGCCTGCACTTGTGTGCAATTATATGCATTTGTGTGTGAGCGTATACCAGAATATCCAATATATATCACACAGTCAAGAGTCTCTAAAGGCAGCTACTTATTTGGTTAAAGAGTGAGTTTTGCGTGAAGACCTGTTGAAGGGGACTCTCCTCTCAAAGCAGATCAATAAACAGATATATTTCTCTTTTTACACTCCCTGAAGGCAAACATTTCCCACAGGGTTACAATTACATGTTAAATATCCTAACATTTACAACCTAGGATGTTAGCTCTAATAAAAAATACATTTCTCAAAAAATATTCTTGCAGTGCTTTTCTCTTTCAAGCATGCTTTTGAAAACTTTTTTTTTTTTTTTTTTTAAACAAGATTTTTCTGTGTTTGCTTATGAATCTTGACGGTGTGTCCTCACACATACGACACCTCCTCTGGACTGTCTTACATGCTTCAATACCACCTTCCAGCCCAGGCCACTGGTCTGTACAATAGGCCCATCAGGTCAGATCCAGCAAAAAGGAAAACAAAACAAAAAAAAAAGAAAAGAGAAAAAAGTTATCATCCCACTGCGTCCTCTCTTGTTCTCTCCCAGGCACACCACCACATGACTTATTGCAACTGAATTTTGCAAGTTGGCTTAGTCCGGGAAAAGATGTTAGCTTTAGGCATTCATACAAGTAATAATATATATTAAGAGTCACAGTTATTCCCACACATCCTTTAGCCCTTTATAGGTGGAGTCTCTCTCGTCCTCCTCTGTAACCCCTCACTGTCTACCCTCTCTCTACAGCTGAGGTGAGGTCTGTATAGAGCAGGGGGGTATATTTGTCCTGTCAAGTCCAGGCTTGCAGCCTGTTGTACCACAGGTTCACAGTCCAGTGCTGACCATGGTGCTGTTGGGCTGGCAGGCCTGCGCCTGACTCAGAGCCTCACGGATCTGCAGGTTGAGCTCCATGAGGCGGGTGCTAGCCTGAGACAGGTCCCTGCTGGGGCCCACCACCGCCAAGCAGCCCGTCTGGCCCAGCGTCTGGTGACGGAAGTAGATGTGCAGCAGGGTCTGGACTGCGTTGTCTGTCTCGTTGCCAAAGATGTCGTTAGGCCACAAAGATCTGTAGATAAAGGAGGGTGGGGACGAGGACATGCAGGGAAGATTTTTAACTAAAGTGAGATCACACAGAACGTGTTTCTAGCAGTGGGATGAACATTTTTCTAATAGTTCTCATTGTGTTTTAAACATCTTTCAAACGTGCATTGCAGTTTTTGGTGGGAAGCTGAGCACCCCATTTCAAACATTGATGCACAAATAAACCACAAAAACATTTTGATTCCTATCCCTGCTGTGGAATTATGATGTTCATCTTACCTAAAGACTTTGACCTGTGTGACGGCAGAGCTGAAGTCTCTGTTTCTCAGAGTTTCAATCAGCGATTGGATGGCCGTCTCTGTGTTGGTCTGGGCAGTGTCTGACATGCACACATCCTCCTGACCATCATTTCCTGTTTCTGCCTCCTTCAAACAGCTCTCTAGGATGGTGAGCTCGTCAGACATGTTGGTCACCTTAGAAACAGACAACAGAGAAACATTAACATCACAGCACTGCATATCACAGCATGCGTGTGCAAAATCTCCTTGGGAGAGGGTGTTGGCAAAATAAACCACGACTGAATATTAACTGGAATAGCTGACCCTATCACTCCATACAGTATGAGAAATGATTTAATTCTATTACTTTAATCTAATTAAAGCTCCGCCAAGATGCAGCCCAGAGAGGGATCGACTGCATTACACGATCAGCAATGACTGCTTAACTAATCTGTGGTTAAAAGAAGAACCAATGGCCTGTCTAATAGATAGATACAGATAGAACTTATTGCTTATTTATGTTCAGTATTATTATATTTCATGTAAAATAGAAAAAGACAACGTTCAACATTTTATGACAAACAACTGAGACAACAATCTGTAGAAAACAGTGCTCTTGCAGCATGATGCAATATAATGCAATTTGTCTGTTCTTGATTCTCTGACAAAGGTAGATGTAAACTGCCTCTGTGCCTTTCTAAGGAAAATCTCCAACTAAATGTAAAATGCACTTCAGACATGTTTTATGATTTCAATGTATGTCAGAAATCTAAACAACCAATGTATTCTTACAAATCCAGCATGATTTCAATCAACAAATCCAGTGTGGTCTTGGTCTTACCTCCGCCTCTCTCTTGATGGTGTCCACCCTGCTGATGAGCTTACAGTAGGCCTGGAAGAGCAGAAGCAGCTGAAAGTGCAACTTATAGAGCCTGCGACATAACTCCAGCTCCTACAGAGACAGAAACATAACGGAGTCACACTGCTGCATAATGGTGAGCCTGCACTCAAATTACTCTGATGATCATATGATTAGACGGATGGGTATCCTGGGTTAGAGACGTGGGAGTAGATGAAAGGGTTAACATGGCCTAGAGCAAAGTGCCATCCGGTTTGGACCAGAGGTGAGTCTACCACTAGTAGAATTAGTCATGAGATCTCAATTAGAAAACTATCCATCACCACCTCCTGTGACGCTCCCTACGGGCCACTGTGAGCAGTGTGCCTGACTAGATGAAGAGCCAAAGAAGTGGGTAATTACTAAAAAGTTAAGACCCTAATCCAGGAAAACATGGAGGGAGAAAAAAAAAATGGTAATTTGAACAGATATGGGAATGGAACAATACACATGCAAAATGAAAGTAATCTTATCCTGAAAACAACCAGTCTCCACCCACCCTCTACCAGCGCAGCCCCCCCCCCGAAATCATCAGTAACTCTACTGAATACATGTTTAGACATCTTCATCTATCAGTGCGCAGTACAAAGCGGTTAAGACACTGATTATCCAGGCTGGATGTAGCAAAAGAAAAAAAGCATATACTGCAATACAGGATAACAGTAAATTATGATTGGGTGGATGGGAGCTGGGTTACATGACCGATCAAGGCAGAGAGCGAAATACAGAGGCGGGTGGGGTTGGTGGCAGAGCACAGTCTGTGGCTGTCAACAGCGCAGGTATGTACAGAGACAGATGAGATGATCAGTGTTTTGTCCAGATGTCATGATTATTAAGAGTCTATAATATGAGAACCACTTACTGCTAGATTTTCCATTTGCTAAGCAAGAAGGTGAGCAGGTCACACACACAAAAAAAAACAAAAAAACAAACAAAACAGAAGGAGAGAAAGACCAAGAATTAGTGAGCTTTAACATGGCAGCTGAGACACAGTGACCTGACGGGCAAGGAGCGCTGCTTTATCATCTTCCCTTCACACAGGTCAGAGGAGGCTGGGTGCCCAAACACATACGAGCTCACATCAGCAGTTACAGAAACCTTTATTGTGAGAGGCTGAATATCAGCATGTATGATGGAGCAGAGAAAAGATATGGTAGAGGCTACAGCAGGAGGAAGGAGAGAGGAGTAAAAGACTCTGAATGTGTCGCCCCTTGTGACTGAAAACAGCACATCAGTTTAACCTAAGCAGAGGGAAGCTGTGAGCGTGGTGTCCGCAGATCTGTGCGAGAAGATCTGAAGCAATGTCAAGAAATCAACAACTGTAGGACGTGGAGTAAGAGACCACGCAAAGACTGAGGACAACAGTAAAAAAAGTGTAATTTCAAATTGTCCTCTTTCTTCATTCTCTTTGGCTTTATTATCTCCTAAAATGTATGTATAGACATATTTTGATAACTAATATGGTATGCCAAACAAACAAGTTGAAGCAGAGCTCATAAGACAAAAAACCCTACAAGATGCTGAAATCACAGCATCTTAAATCTATAATATTTTAAATATATTAGTAATATTTTCTCTTTATCAAAAAGGAAGAAAAATAAGTCCTTTTGGAAAATATCTTATGGAGCGGGTGTCGGTGTCTGTGTGTGATTGTTTGGTTGACAGCAGTTGGCAGGACCTGCTGTAATTACATGTCATGGGCAGAGTGTGTTAGTGGCATTTAAGAGGATGGACCACACCAGCATCAGTTGCAGGTATGTTTACATGCAGTTTAATGCCATCTAGCCTGCAAACTGGTGTTAGCAGTGAACTTTTCCCCAGTTAATGTTTGTGTAGTCGCTCGTAGGGCTGCTCGATTATGGAAAAAAATCATAATCATCGAATTATTTGGGGTCAAAAATTGAAATTTCAATCACGATCTATTCAAACGATTATTCTTTTAAACTTTCAGAAACATGCTGGCATTTATTGGCATTTGTCAAACACTTTGCAAGCGAAGTTTCTCAGTTACACTTCTTTTCCCATAAACGCATTTGTAAGTCTCCTCGTTCTGGTTCAAACGAAACACGTAACAGTAGAGACTGCAAGCTAGGGTGGTTTCGGACACCCGCGCGAGTATAATAGTATACGGCGTCCGTGAACCTTCACATTGGTTGCGGGGCAGGTCCCTGAGTCCTAGACCGACAGAAGGCGATTACGAGCACATGCTAGCTGATGCACGTGCATTGCATTGGAGGAAGTCGACGGAAATACGAGATCCTTACAACGTTGCAACCAGAAACTGGAAAATAATTGTTTCCGGGCCCGATTTTTTGTTTTGAGATCGTTTGCCCCAAAATCGTAATTCATGATCAAATTTCGATTAATTGCGCAGCCTTAGTCGCTCGTTGAACAGGCTCAGGTGCAGGATAAGACGTGCATGTTTGTGAGTCATATAAGAAGGAGTTAAGTGAATGTGGATCCTTGTTCTAATTCTGTGGCTCTTGTGTAGCTGCTGTCTGGCTCAGTGTGATAGAACGCTGATTTTACTGCTTTACACAAATATGGTTTAAAATGTAGCCGTTTGATTGGCTGTATAGAAACTGGTTCTCCATCTACGTAGACAGAGAACTAATGGGATTCTGACAAATGAATGAAAAACTAGGAGGGAAACCAAATAAATATTACACAAGCAGAACACATGACATGTGATTTACACAGCAGATACGTATGCTCTAGCAGACAAAAACATCCAATTTCATTTCACTTGGACCTTAAGTTTCAATGCAGAAACCTCACTGCTTACAAAATGCATCCATTTATTATTCAGTTGCAGTCTTTAACCATTTTCCCACTGGATTCCTAAAAGTCATATTGATCAACACAAATTACAAACCAACAAAGTGTTCATTCCTACCTGTGCATGAGTATTGGGTCGTTGGCTGCTGTCTTTGTCCCCAAATGTTTTCCTGCAGTTCTCCAGCCACTACAGGGTTGACAGGACAGGAATGGGTGACAGACAAGATGGGAGAAAAAAAAATCATAAGGATTAGGGGAGGGAAAAGGAGATTGGTAACAGAGGCAATACAAGAGCTTTTTCTCTCCCCTGGATGTCTGCATCTACATTTGTGTACATATATAATAAAGGTTGGTCAGGGAGGAGATTTAATAAGTGTGTTGTACTTAGCGAATTAAAGAAGGCCTGTTCCAGAGCACGGGATGGTATCTAGCCCTCCAGGGACTATTGCCGTCTCATTCAATTAGCGCCCCTGCATCCCAGAACCCTCTGCAATCTCATCTCTTCTCTTCTTTCCCCTCCCCCTTCGTTCCTCCTCCCACCCCTCACAGCTTCTCCTGCCTGGCCTTCTATAACTGACTTAGGAGTGCTGAGGGTTATTTTTATCCCCTCAGCAGGGGGATGTCACTAGTGATGCAGACACTAACGGCAGCTAAATCTACTCATACAAAACACTGATTCAATGTCTGCCCCGCTGATGAGACAGACCGGGGCTTATCTTGTACAGCATCAGCTATTTGTCTCCATGTCCTCTTGGCTGTCCATGGTGTGATGGCATAGGGACAGAGGGCAATTTACAAACGCTTCCTAAGCCCATCTCTCTTGGCCATTATTATGAGGCAGTTCCTTAGAGTCACACACAAATGCATCCTGACACAGCAACTTAAACTGCAGTTGTGGCAGTCTTGAGAACTATGGAGGATGTGAGGCAATGTGTCCTGAGGGAAAAGGGTTCAAAGAGAATGGGAAAGCAGATATGGTGAAGATGTGTGGTGACTTACAAGCTCTGCTGCTTCTCTCTTGGCGTTGTAGGTGTCCAGGTGTTCCTGCAACTCCAGCACACTAAACTTCAGAGTCTCCAACAGTCCACAAGAGACCAGCTACAACAGCAAGACAGGACACCACATACATTAACCCACAACACCAGCCAATACATACACAATACATGACACAAAAATATCTACAGAAGGACACACATATACATTAAGGAATATGCATAACATGCAGCACTAATAGGTACATTTTACTGCGACCATGTTGTTGTATTTTAGCTCTATCGGTTTTATTAAAATGATTGCAGACAACCATGCAGAACAGCCTCACCGTCTCTGCATCCAGCAGCACAGTGGGGCACTGCGAGCGAGACGTCATGACTTCCAGGGAGCTGAGGAACTGATTGCCCATTCGCTGGAGCCTTTCCCCGAGAAAGCGAACAGATGCGTGTGTAATGGAGCCAAATTTCCTCTGAATGCTCTATATTAAACAAGGACGTGGAATCAAGAAAGGACAGAAAAATGTTGAGAAAGCTCAATAGTGAACACGATTGTAGATGCAACAGAGAACGTGCAGTCCTGCCAACCAAAGATGCAAAAATAACCAAAGAGAAAGCCTTTACCTGAAAGAGTCGGGAGAACACGTGGAAAGTGCAAACAGCGGAGGAACCATCTGTATCTGACAACATCTGGTTGACATGGCAACGCCAGGCATCTTCCTCATTGTCATAGGCAACAGGCTGGAATGCTGCCAGGATAGCAGAGAGGAAGGGCGAAGGGGGCGGAGAGGCCTGAATCTCTGGGAAGCAGTCTGCGTCACCTTCATCTTGACTGAAACACACACAGGGGCCAATAAGCTACAATCCAACATGCTCCACACTCCCTCAGTCTTTAGTGAAGGACAAATGTAAACACACACACATGCTCATCCTCACTCGCAGCAAGTAAACAACCCCACATCGCTGTATCTCTGCCTCCCTCACTGCAGATTTTGCTGCAGTATATTGAGAGCTCTAATCTACTGCAGTGCTCTAGCATAATAACAACATATGAGCTATTAGCATTTTAGCATCATGCAAACATCTCTCTCTCTCTCTCTCTCTCTCTCTCTCTCTTTCTCTCTCCCAAAGATGCACGTACAGATACTCACAGGCCTGTAGGACCAAACAGCCTGAAGAAGCAGACAGAATATAAGTATCTAAAGCCTGCGCTGCCAAGCGCTGTAGCGGACACAGTCTCTGTCCTCATCCTCACCCCAACTACCGCTTCTCTTTCCCTCACTCTCTCCCCTTGTCTGCAGCTCGGCTGTGCTGCAACTGCTAACAGCACTAGCGCACTGCACTCCCATCCCACACAGGACTGCAGAGAGCTCTATACAAGCTGGGTAACTACACACACACACACACACACACACACATTTCTGCAAAACAGAGCCAGCTCCCAACCTCACAGAGGTACAACATTGCTGAGTTGTTTTTATCTTGCTCTCTCCCGCTCACATAAATCCTCATACGTATAAAAACAGTAAACTGGTTAGTGACCTGCTGTGATCAGACAATCACTCAGAGTACACCACACGTGCCCATCAATCATGCATGGCTTAGCTAAGTCAAAGACCTTGAGTAGAGTGATGCATGTGACTGTGTGTGTGTGTATATGCATGTTTGTTCAGCATTGCTTCATCATATTGCTTCAGTGTAGTTTAAAATCCTGACTTTACAATCGTCCTACAGAGTTGGCCCACCTTGAAGAGGGAATGTTTAAATGTGGATTGGAGCCAGCCCACCCTGGCCTTCCTTCATAGTTCCAGCCCACATGGGAGTCATGCCAAGGAAGAAATTACCCATCATACCATCTCAAAAGCCTAGCTAGTCTGGCCACATACTGTGCTGTGATGAGACTTTTTATTTTTGACGTTGTCTTTTACATTCCTGTATGTGTTTTTTCCAGTAACTCTAGTATGTTAAGAGATTGGGATGCAGGGAAAAATATCAAAGTAAATCTTTTAAAATTTTTATATGGAATGATGCCCTAAAGGGTCATGTTTTTTGTGTGTCCCAGCAGTCTATGTGTGTTAAAAAACCCAGAGACCAGGATTCATTTCTCCTTTAGGTTACAGATTTTTACAGATCACTGATGGGGAAATCGTGACATTGAATGCATCTTTTCAGATTCTCTGTAAAAGTTTTTTGAATGATCATGATCCAAAACAATCCGCTTACCTGGACATGCCAGAGAAGTCGGCCTCCTCCTCCTCACAGCGCTCATCCAGCTCCTTCAAGGCCTGTGTCACATTTTCCTCCCACACAGAGCCACAGGTGCTGTCTGGGTCCGGATCTGAATCTGGCTTTGTCTCTGGTGGCATGGACAGGGGCAGAGACAGAGGCAGGACTGTTTGGGATTCCTCCTCACAGAGGGACCCCGGTGGAGTGTCTATGGCCGGCGGGGGAGGGGGGGCTGGATCCAGGTCTTCATGAGGGTCCTGGGTCTCCTGGGGTTCCTGAGCATCCTGAGGGTCCTGCGAGTCCGGGAGGTCACACAGTTCCCCTGGGTCAGAAGGCAGAGGGGGGGCGCTGCAAAACCCCGTGTCCTCACTCACACTGCTGCTCAGCTCATCTGCTGCGGTCATGCTTACGGCATCCTGTAACACAGGCCAGAAGGGGGCACTCAGGTGCAGTTCGGCAGATAATACATCATAATGTACATTAAAATCATCTTTCTTTCAACAGTTAGATTGCCTGGTTGTCATGACAACAGCAGCACTAATATCAGTTCAAGAACGCAGCTCCACTTCTGAACCTCTATTATAGGCTGAATTAAGACTGCTATAGCCTGTACTTAAGAGCACATATTAGCTTCAATTATACAAGAGGGACTTTTAAGTCAGCAATTTCTACGACGTTCACTTCCTTGAAAAGTCACTCTATCAGCTTACGTCTCTCATGAGAAATTAAAGAAAAAGAAAAGAATCAATAGACAGAAGCCAATATCAATATATCACTGTAATGCCATTAAAAACTCAACCTTATTGCTAATAAAACAGTAGCATCGTGGTGAAACGACAGAGCATGTACATCTCATTCATCTGCTGTCTTGTTGGCTCCTACTCTCTGACGCACATTCTATTTGTATGGACTGATTTATGGCCTGCACTCCATAACTACACATAAATAGCAACATAACAAATTCACCAAACAGCAGTAATCAACAGTGGCTACACACAATAAGAGAGGCTACGGTTTTATAATCTACAACTAAATACACAAAAAATAACTACAGTGTCTCAAAGTCCAGATTAATTCTATATGTAAAGTAACCATGCTGATGTAAAGTACAAACATGGAGGAGGGATACGTTGTGAGATGGCCCAGAGAAGGGGATCTAATTAAGAGCACTTGTTTTTCTTGTCGTTTTTTTTTTTATTCAAAAGTCTAATTCATTGGGAACGCTGAGTGTGGCAGGCCGCCAGTACATCACAGAGACAGCAGTTATATTACAGAAAGCTTTTAGAAGTGGTCGTGGCCATCCTGGAGGGAATGAGTAAGAGTATTGATGGTTTTATCTAGGGCTCATTACACTAAGAGCTGGGGCTGTGATGGGGGAGATGTCCCTGGGATGACATTGAGACCACTGGCTAAATCGAGTTCCTAAGAAAGTTACATTCAGTTCTGGGTGTAGAGCACCATCACTGGGGGGTAGGAATACCTACTGACAATAAATATGTATGAGCCAAGACTATTCCTATATCCCTATATCCTTATATGTAAAAAGGTAAAAGATTGGGCCATATGATTTAAACTAAAATTCCCACATTGTATGTGCAGAGGAAAATTAAGATACTCACCATTGTTAGTATAAGTGATAAATGTCAGTAGCAGTGGATAGTAAAGCTGTTCATCACAAGAAAGGCTACAGCATGTTAATATGATCGCAAACTGAAAAGAGTCTAATTGGCTAGAGCACCACTGGTTTTCACTTAACTGCATTTTTAAAGGTTAACACACCACTTGTAATGGACTTATACTCACACATGCTTTTGCTGAAGATAAAGCTGGTGTCCATTTCACAAGTTTTTAATGGAGGATTTAGTTGGAATGGTCAGTTGCTGTGTTATTGGAGGTGAGCAGTAACAGCTAACCTGAGGTGAGCTTTTGGTGTCATCTCTCCCCAAATCACAGAAGGAAGTAAGCCCCGCACACATGCAAGCCCCATCGCGTAACTATTAACCACATATACCATTAAAAAGGAGTAAGGGGCGGGCTAGTCTTCAGTAACCACACCCAAAGCAAAGCAACAAAGCAAGGGCTGGTAGAGGGAGTTAGAAGTGGCAAAAGCAGTACACAATGTCTTCACCCCACAGCAGGCAGACAGTTAAAGAACCAGCACTTTTACCCCATCCAAAACTCCCTGAAGGTAGCTGATCCTCCCTTTCAATGACAGACAAGCCAAGAAGCACAGAAAAGCAGATAAAAGATTAAACAGAAAGACAAAGGCAAGCTAGAAAGCACCCGAGCACCACAGTTTATTGCTGCTCCCGATTGATCGCACCTCAGGCAGCTGGCTGCTGGTGCTGTCTGAGTGGGCCATCTCCAACATGGGGCTATCCAGTCGAGGAAGGGAGGGCAGAGAAGGTAGGACAGTTGCCTCCTCGGTCAGAGCACTGCTGGACGATTCTTGAGACTGCTGCAGAGAGTCCACATGGTTGGACGCGGTATCATCGGTAGCAGAGTCGCTGTTAAGCTGGAGAAGAAAAACATAAGGACTGCTGAGCATTCTCTGTTGGGACACAGTATAAACACAATACAGATTGTATTAAACGTCCTCTGGTTTGATCCAAACCTTGATTAAAAGTACAAAGAACAAGTTCAAAATTAAGTTAAATTGGTCGGTGTATTTAAAGCATTCCGCTGCCAAATAGATCCTTCTCTAAACCTTGAAACACTGATACACTGCTGATACTTAATATGACCTTACTGTGGGGGTTCAACATACTTTGATGATGTGCTGGGTTTGATATGTTAGTATAAAATGAGCTCTCAATAATAACTATACCAGTTTACAATCCATTGGTCACTTTGTTCAATATATGCTTGTTATTTTTTGGAGTTACTACAATACTGAATTCAGGTTTTAACGGTTTAATGATTTGTGTTGAACAAACAAATGACGTTACACATGTTTATGTACCAAGCAGCGCATGTTTAGTCATTTTAGTTTTCCATTCAATGATTCAGCTTTTTCAGATTGCGTCAGGCAAAAAGATTATTTCCAACATCAATAACATTAATTATATATTACACCAATCTCTTTCAAAATTCTGTTTAAGCACACACATAAATGCTGCATGCTTAGTTCTAGTGGAACAGAGTAATACTGGATGACTACAAACATTTCTGGGGCAAATATCCACTAGAGGCAAAAGCTCATTCTCTCACCGTGCACTACCAAGATCAAGGAGCAGAAAAGAGATAAAGAAAACGTCCCCATTAGACTGAGGTAAAGCATTTGTATTAATGGCATTATTATTGGCAGCTTTGGATAAGACCTTGCTTTCAAAGCAAATCAAAGCAGAGAAGAGATAGAAGAGAAAAGCAGCCTCACTTTTTTTTTAAAAATGCAAAGGAACATGCTGTTATTCTGAATTATAACACTTATATTTGATACTTGATTACATGTATTTAAGAATTTTATTCAATCATTAAAAAAAGTTCTCTTCTTATCAGGGATTTAACTTGAGTCAATATGAACTTATTTGGACATAACTAAACTGTACTTACCGGAAAAATCAAAACAAATATTATGAGAAAGGACAATAGCATTAATCTAGCAGTCAAAGGTAGAGGGACTGGGCTGAGGGTTTGAAGGGGGAATCTACCACCAGCGAAGAAGCAAGCATCTAGCCCCTGTCCACACTGGCAGCAGGTCCAGCTCAGCACGCACACAAACACACGCGCACACCATGCCAGCGGGGTGTGTGAGGAGCATGGTGGGTTGGATTGGGGGAGTTGGGGACCCTGATTAGAGTGAGACTTACAAGGCCAGAGCGGGTGAGAATCTGGCTAGCGCTCAGTACCTCCTCCTCAGACGATTCATCCGTGTCCTCGTGGTTGGTGAGGTTGAGGCTTGGCGTGCTGCCTGTGTACTGGCACTCTTGCAAAGACGGCGTGTCCCCCTTGTCCATGCTCTCCAGGGAGCGTCGACGCACCCCCCAGTTGAAGTTGTCCATGCTCTCCCCCTGCAGGACAACCAAGACAACAGCAGTGAGACACAGTGCAAACAATAGAAGGGTCTGTGGAAGATTTCACAAAGCAGGAAAACAAAAAGCACAAGACAAACAAATAATGTATATTAACATTCCAAGAAAAGAAAAAAAACAACACATGAATGCATGAGTGGGTGAGATGATTTTTCTTCACATTTTGGGATGGTAAATGATGCACTGTTCTAAAACTATAAAAGTAATGGGTTCACAACCACAGTAGCCACAATTAGAAATCAAAGAGCACTACAGCACTTTATGTGGTGACAACACAGAGACACTGGGGCACTGCAGAGAACCGCATCTCTAAAAAGATGTCTGGCCCACAGACTTACCTGCAACTCCTTGTGGCAAGAGAAGAGAAGGAATAGTAAAGTATGTTAGTAGACTTAAGACAGTTACAAAACACAGAAGTGTTTCAACTACAGCAGTCAGGACAAATAAGACGCACGTTGGACAAACAAGACAGTAATGTTGTTAATCTGGAACAACACAACTAACAGTATGGTACAAATGTAGAGATGAAAAGTTGCTGCTATGCAAGTTTTTGAGAGGAAGTGGAAATCGTGTGCAGTTATACTTGCATCAAGTTCCCTGCACTCCATACATTTGAGTGGATTGAAAAATGATTTAAAAATGATTTATGCAAATAGTTATGCTCTCCACCCACAAACAAGCCTTTTTGTGTGTGTCAAATTTAATGTAATTTCTCACCTCGGCATCCTCCAACTCCACATCTAAGAAGTCAAAGTCCTTGAAGACGCCAAACTGCTGCTCACTGCCCGTATCTTCTCCCTGCACGTCCTCTTCTCTGACCACCTCCTCCACTGTGGGTATAAGACTGGTTTGCTGGTCGGCAGAGTCCAGATCCTCATTGGAGGAGAATACCACCTGCGTAGAAAAGAAGAAAAGACACTTTGTTCTCAACTAGTAAAATACAATTGTTGTATTTCCGTAAACATTATTCAGACAAAAATAAAATAAAGCAAAATCAACAACGACAAAAAGACAAAGCAACCACAGCAGTATTCTTAACAGAGAATTTACAGAGACCTTGTCTGAAGCTTTAGAGTAGGAGAGGAGTCTTACAGATGGATTTTTGGGAATGCCAGACTCCGGGCCACATAAAGACAGGACATTCATCAGCCTCTCTCTGGTTCTTCTCTGTAAAAACAACACATTAACATAACGAGAAACAATTATTTACCATTTGGTGTATTTATTGATTTAGTTTAAATACTGGACAAAATAATTTGTTAATGTTTAGTTCACTTGTCAAACAACAAAGTACCACGTGTGCTCCATGACACCCTAGATGTAGGAAGCAAACATTGTGATACTTGTAACTGCGTGACTGCAATGTTGTGTTTAAAAAAAGGGATTTATTAAAATAAACTTATAAAATTATATGCCTAGGTGGGTTCAAAACACAGAGCTCAAGATATTCTGATAAAAAAGAAAAATCTATGTGTCAAGTATTTTGCTCTGATTCTGTCTCTGAGACCAGGTTATCTGGTATTGGTGGTTTGGGTATATCAAATCCAAACAACAGATAAATCTGGATCAGAGCTGGTTCTGTTGAAGCTTGTCTATTAATTAGTAGTGGCATTTTTCCATCTGTTTTATTACACATCTTCAATTCCTGCATAATTTTCTGCTGAGTGGAAATGCCAAAAAAGTGCAAAAAAGCTTTTACACTTGGCTGATATGGAAACTTTAGTTTAAACATGCGACAACATACAAAGTAAACAACTAATTAGGGCCCAAGCAGTGACGGCAGTGAGGCCCTAAACTGCTCAGATTTTTTTATTATTATTTTTAACCAAAGTAAATCACATTTTTGGTAGTTGCAACATGCTTTGGTCCTCATGAAACACAGCACACGTCAGTCGTGGCAAAAATG